TACATATATATTATTATAAATATATATACATTTACATTAATAATATAATATATTATATTAACAAATATAGTTAATACATATTATTACATATATTAGTAAATGTATTTTTAACTTTTTATTCATATAAATTTAATTATATTAATAAATAATTAAATCGGATTTTGAATAATCTACAAATTTGATATAATATGAGAAAATCTATCATGAATTATATTTATATTAATATTAATGAAATCAGATTATGAATAATCTACAAATTTGATACAATTTTAAAAAATATATCCCGAATATGACGCGATATCTATCTATATTTTTAATATTAAGATTATCTCAATCTTATATTGTAGACCCTACACTTAAATACTTGGACATACACGTGGATATCTTTTCAAGGTAATGATGGCACTGTAGAGTATCTAGAAGTTTCCGTTTCAATCTTGGCCCTTGAAACCTACTATTATCTCTCATCCAACGACTGAAAATGCAAATGACAGTCAACGTGCTTTTTGAGGCAAGTTATCTCCCAGCGAGGAAAACGCTTGCTGTCAGTATGAGCTATAATCGTCTGTATCATGACATATTACAGTTGTCCTCCACTTCGCTCGACTGTCAATAGTATCTTCCAGAAATGCGTACGTGGAGGAGTTTGATTGGATACTGTGACGAATTATTCTAAAAACGGAGATAGAAAATCGAGGCAGTAAAAGGAATAAGGTTGGTGGGAGGGGTAAAACGGTCATTACACATAAGAAATATTATTTTAAATAGGACAGAGGCGTTTGTAGACGTCTCAATCCATGTTGGTATTCAAAGGCGGGAAGCCGTGAGAAGCCAAACAATTTCTCTCTTTTTTCTCTTGCCATAGCTTTCTCTCTCCAGACAGCAAATCTCACCAAGCTCTACTCTTTGTTCTATATCTCATGGAAGAGAAACGAGCCGATAAGCCGGCGCCGTTCTGCATAACTCAGAACCTCGAGGGGTCAGTAGCCGATCACTCGATGGAAGTGCCGCCGCCGGTACCTAGTGGCATTGTCTCAAATTCCGGGTATGTTTCTCTATCTCCTTCTTTCTCTCTGCATTAAAGTAAAAAAAAAAGGATTCATTTTCTCGACTTTTA